TGTGATCTCCTTTAAAGCATTTTTGTTTCGAATGTTTAAACTGAACTTGAACCACTATAGATCTTTGGCTCAAACATGATTTAAGGTCTCTTATCAAAGTGTCAATTTAATTCACTTGAGTGACATTACTTGCATTCCTGGCTTAAAAGATTAGGCTTTATTACTATATCAGACTTTGTACTGGAATATGGATTTTCCATAAGAGTGTAACCTATATCAAGAACTTTTTCTGCAAATACTTGTAGGGTTCTTTTAATATTATTCAATTTTATGTACATAATTAATAAATAATTAAAGTTTAATGACTACTTTAGAAACAGGAATGAGAACATGTTGACTTCTCTCTGCTCTTTCATTTCACTTAGATTCAGGAAGCTAAAGTGCAGATGTGCTATCCATTTTTTCCTCCAGTATTTTATGATTTATTGATTAATGACTATTATTGCTAAAATCAAGTGTTAAATTCATATTGTGCACATTCACCCAACTTTACTATGCCCTCTCTAACTTTACCTGCAGAAAATACAATGTTTTCGTTTTGCAATTGTTCAAAATGGTAAAACCTCTTACTATACCTGATACCAGAGCATGTTTAAATTTTTCAGTATGTATTTTTTAAAGAATTTAAAGAAATTCCAAATAATTTAAATCAATCCCAAAAGTCCAATTCATGTTAAATTACAGGGCTTTACTTCCCTTGTCACCCAAAGTTATCGTTCTTTATGGAGAGTACAAAGCGTTAGAAAGTTGACTTGAATTAAGGCAAAAACACAGCTTTACAAGAATTTGAGACCTAGCGAGTGGAATAAATAATAATAGTTTGTTTACTTTCAGTGGGACACTATCTGTTACTATGTACAATTTTATTACAATAACTTTACAAGTTTAAAATTTAAGTATTTAAATGTACCAATATGTGGGCCGCAGTAATTTTTTGTCATTTTTTAAATTATTTTGGTGATTATTCTAATAATATGCTATTTTATTTTTTACTAAAAAAGTATTTGTTTAGACAAATGTCAATACACCGTATGGTATTCTGATGGCAATCATCATATTAATTGAAATTAATAATAAAAAAAAATCACATATATGTGTTTTATTTTATTAAAAATTGTTTTTAAGGTCTCCACATAATTTGATTGCTTAACCTTTGAAGACAAGAAAGTTAAAAACTAAATTTAAAATAAGGAAGGAATTATTGTGTTAGGACTAAAAATGGCTAAAATAAGGCTGATACAGGTGTGCCACTTTCCGGATTGTCCCAGATTTATGAATTTGTGAGGCTAAATATTTTTCAGCTCTGGATTCGTGAGTTTTTATTTTCTCTTACTCCCGATTCGCCAGTTGTTGGTTCAGTTTATTCAAAAGCGGATTCTGGGTTAAAAAAAAAAAAATCAACATGTAAGAACTCGCGAAATCCTATTCAGCGCCCTCTTGTTTTTGTTTGCAAGCCTCTCGCTTTTGTTTGTAATCATTGCACATGAAATTATTTCTACAATGTATTACTTTTATGAGTTTCGTTAAGTTTCAGTATTTGGAAAATGTGTAAATGAAGTTTAGGTTTCAAGAAATTTGTAGAAAGGGATTTCAGTGTTCACAGCTTTCAGTGGGTGGCACCCCTGGCTGATAAAAAAAAAAAAAAAACATAAATTTTCTTCTATAAGTGATAGAAGGGTAATCCTTGTGTCATTGAAAAGCTTAATGCCTGTCCTTTCCAAAAGTTCTTTTTGTGCAAGTAAGACCTAATTGAAACGTCTGGAACTGGTAATTGTAACAAATTAGATACTAATGAAACTAAAATACTAGAATTTACATAATTGTAGATTAAGTTTCTTTATGGCAAAATGAAATTTATGAAGTGATTACATTTATCATTAAATTATCTTGATGCACATCATTCATACAGCTTAATCTTTTACGCAATATTAATGTTAAATGTCATTTCCACTCACAAATATTATACCCATGACACAAGTTTTTATATAATACACACAGGATAAGCAGGGATTCATTATAATAACAATAAAGAGAAAACCAAAGTGACTGACACTGCTTTTGGTTTAAAAAAAGCTGACTAGGTCTTTTGCGACATCTGTTTGTACTGTTAAGATACTGTTTCTGTTTCTAGGCAAAAAAGATAAACAAAGGAAAAAAATCTCTGCTTTTTCAGATGAGTGTGGTGCCTTTTACCAAGAAGCATATTCATTTATATATTTTGTGTAAAATTATTTTATGAATTTAAATAATTATATATTTTTTTTATTTTCAAAATGTAAACCATGTTTCTTAATTAAAGAAATCAATTGTACCTGAGAGAAAGAGGAATGTTATATATTATCAAGTAAATATAGTTTCCTAATTAGTCAGTTTGGAATGCTATATTGAAAATGTGCTTAACTCCTTTTAGCTTAGCTGGCAAGCACCCTGATTTAAAGATACTATTTAACAACAGAGAAAGGCACACACAAAAGAAGCACACATTTATTTGAATTCCCCTAATCCCCCATAAGCTTTTTACAGATACACGCAGGAATAAAGTTTAATAATGTATTTCAAATTTGATGATTTATAACATCCAGTAAAAATAATATATTTTTAAATTAACAATATCACAAATGTGCCTTTTTTCCTTGGCTAAGTAGGGAAAAATACAGATGACTTTTTAAACAAGATTTATTTATCTTTTGAGGGAATGGATGAGTTAGCATTTTTAAATGTGTTCTTTATTGTTTCATGAGTTCTTTATTGTTTCATTTCAAATACTTATATTTCTATTCTTCAAGGTAATCAGTCTAATATCCATCATGTACTTTGGAGTACAAAATAGTGTAAGAAAAATCTAAGTTTTTAATGCATGAATTTGCATCATATCTATAGTCTGTTAATTCCCCATGATCATTTGGCTGCTAAATTAAACATCTTTCTGTGAATGTTGCTTTTATTTGGTGAAGGTCCCAATGAATTTTTAAATACTTTGCTTTGTCTTGATCAGTGTTGCCTCATCTCAGTGCACTGGTAGTAGCTTTCAGTAACTCAGGGATTGGCAAGTTAATTGGTAGTTTGTTATAGTGAAACTTGTTTATTGTTAATGTCTTGTTTGTGATCAGCACAGTAAATGATGGCTTCAAACTCATAATTGTAATAGAGTATAGCTTCTTCGTCTGTCAACTTTACTTGATGTTTTGCATTATTTATGAATACAATTTATTATGTAATGTAATAAGGATAATGTAAACAAAATAAAATGTTTAAAGGGGCATTATCTTAAAAGTGTGATTTTTATATCGCATAGTTATTAGGTTCTAATTAACTCTTTCACTACTTTGCCATTTTCCTCATTAGATTGGACTGTTTTCATGACCCAATGTTTAGGCCTAACTCTCTTAGGTTTAATCCTATGTATCTTTCATGTCTTACATTAAATGTAAAAGTATTAGATATCAAATTAAACAGAAAAATACCACTGCCAAGTTTTATGAAAATTGAAAAAAAAAAGAATTTTAAAACAAATGTCTTGCCTTTTCGGCACAAAAGCGCTTCAGTGGGAATTGTCCTCCATTACCTGCTTCCCTTTTTTTGTCTCAATAAAAATATAGGACTCACAAAAATAGAACTTAACAATAAAACATGCTTTCAAGTGAAAATTTTTGTTTGAAATGAAGGAACAGAAAGTCAGAAATTAAAAAAGTGAAAGTTTGTTAATCTTTTAAAATTGTGGATTAAAATTTTTTAAAGGAACAAACAATAGGGTACGTGAGCCGCAAGAACTGGCTCCTAGTCCAAAAATAATGTCTGGCAATCTGCAAGAACTGCATGGCTTAAGGGTTTCATAACCCTATCACACCCAGTGGCTTTTGAGGTGGCGTTCCTGGGACAGCGAGGATAAGGGAGGAGACATTAGCTTTGAAGTTATGATATAAATGTTTATATACTTTAAAATATTTTTTCATTAGCATTCTACTTTATTTAATAAGTCATGCAACTATTGTCTAAGCTCTACAGTTATCTTTGAAATTCAGTTATACAATATGAAGTCCATTATTTTCCAATTTGTTACTTTTGTAGGGGTATGATACATTGCAAAAAAAAACGTAGTGGGTGGCAAGTCTAAGTAAACAATTAATAGGAGTGAGAGCACAGAAAGGTTTGGAAACACTGCTCCACTTTGATGAAAACTTAAAAAAATAAATGACAGTTTTCAACACTTGTTTTTTTTTTAAGTGATGATAGTAAAATGTTTACTTTAAATTTATTAAATGTATATTAAATTACAAATTATGATTTCTTTAAGAATAAAAAAAGAATGAATTAGAAATTGAAAATTCTGAAAGATATGAAATATTCTAATTAAATTAAAACCATACGTCTCTTAAAAAAACAGTTAAATATAAAATAGCCTGCATTTAAAATATATTTTAATATAAAAATGATATACTCTTCATTTGCACAACATACCTCAAAAATTGTGTAACTTGAAATTTCATGATTTATTTTAACATGTTTCTCTAGGTTTAATCTTTAAAATTGTAATATTTTTTCTGTAATTTATATAAAAGTTAGTTTACTTAAAATATCTGCGGAGATGATGCATGTGTTGAAAAATGTGTTTTTGAAAATGTCACTTGTATTTAAATTATAGTTTGAAAGGGAGGGACAAAGAGTGAACTCAAATAGTAATAGGTTTTTAACATTTATCTGCATTCCCCAAGGTAACAAATCATTTAATCTGTAATTAATCAATTCCAACACTATACTTTATTAACTGTTAAGTTTTCAATGGAACTCAACTAAAAAATCATTGGTTAGAACTATGGAAGAACTTTGTGTTTGTTTGTTATTTCATTTTAGTGCTTAATAAAAAAAAATGTTTGAAATAATCCTTACCATCTAATAGTTTCAATAATGTCATTTAAGTTTCCTGAATCACTAACAAGCATAATAATCAAATTATTTTGTTTTCTGTTTAATTATATTACACAATACACAACATGAAAATGAATGCTAGTAATTACCATGGAAAAAAACAACAAATATACATTTAACATCTTTGTTATGAGATAGTTTCAATGTTGGGATCATTCATTTAACTATAAATAATCTATGACATGGTGCTGGTAGAATCAGGTGATACCGGTAGTAATTTTCTGGAATAAACATTTTAATATTAACTTCTTTTGGATTATGATTCTTTTCTATTTATTGTGTACATAAACATTCTAATTAATTATTAATTATTCCCATTATACAAAAGAAATAACCTACATTTTTTCTTCATCAGTGCGAACACTTTGTCAAATGAAAACAATGGTAAAGGAAAAATGGATGAATCCTTTGACTTGCAAGAAAAAGCAAAAATGAAATTGCCTGACGAACTGAAAAAGGATGAAGCAGTCAATATAGTTACAGAAGATTCCGAAAACAAGAAAGGAAAGAAAAAGAAATCCAAGAAGAAAAAGAAAGTCGCCAAAGAAAAGGAGAAAGAAAGCTCATTAACCAACCGATCTTTGCCCATCCCATTATCTGGCAATTAAAAAACTTCTACCTTTTCATTCTAAAGCCACAACAGGCAATAAATAGGATACTTATAACCATTATACTGATAATGATAAAAAGCAATAATTTCAAAATTTCGATTAATACATGATAATATAATTATATTGCAAAAATATATGTTTACTCAAATAGTTTATGGAAACAATTTTGTTTTTAAAATCTTACAGAAATTAAAATGAACATTGAAATATGAACTAGCTTAGTCATTTCACGGACCAAAAAAATATCATTTATAAGCATTAGTTCTTATATTTATATGTGAGAGAACTTTAGATCTATTTCATATACTATATGTAAGGTATTTGAATGTTTTGAATCAAAGATCACCATTATACAAGGTTTCTGATTCCTGATCTTTTTAAAGCTGAAAATGATTAAATTTCAAATGTGTGCTAAAAATTAAATTATTTCAGATATCATTATATTATAAGCTAAATAAATATTTTCTAGATAAAGAAGATTTGATCATAATAACAAAGGGCCAATACAAGTGCTACACTGCACACATTCCGCTTTTGTAAGTAAATCTATGAAAACAAAATATATAAAGAAAAAAGAAAATTACATTTCTTAAAAAAGCTTAATGAACATTTTACGAAAAGCAGCAGACTTTAGAGAATTTGCAATTTACAAAATATATGTATGCATGTAATGATTTATCCAAGCTAATATAACCCATGTTTGTGTGTTGTTTTTTAAAAAATTAACTTAAAATTTTAACCCACAAACTGTGGCATGCATTATTCTGTGGTGTGGAGCTTTTCAGAGCATTTTGATTGCGATTTGAAATTGGATTGAATTGCATAGAAATATTGATACAAGACCCCTAAAAGTATATATTTTTAGAAAGGTGAATGGATGGGGATAAAGATGGTCATATTGCGCACCCCGTAAAAAATTTTTTCTCAGTGTCCTTGACCTCGGAGTTCTCAAGGAAAATAAAACAAAATGTCTTGCTTTCAAGTGCTCATAACATCATTAATTTTTATAGATACACGTAAAACATAGATCTAAGTGTTGTAGGCAATTCATTTATCTTTAAGAAAATGTATAGTTTGCTAAGGATCTGATTGCAATTAAACCTCTGAAAGCAATTTTAGTAATTTTAGGTCATTTTTATAAGAAACTGGGACCACTGCTAAAACCAAGTACAAAATAAAAAATATCAGTCAAAATAGTTATTATTAACTAGTAAACATTTAAAAAGAAACTTTGGAACAGATTTGGGTTGTTTAACTATACAATTTCTTATTTTTAAACTATAATCTATAGTTTCTGGAACTAAAATTCAGTCAGTCCTTGCCCCAACCTCCAGGCCTGGCTCGAAGTCTAACAGTAGCCTCAGTAGGCCTACTTCAGTATCACTAAGACTAGAAGAAAATTCACGAGAAGAATAATCTCAACTGATATCATCATTGGGAATGTTAAAATCATCATCAGTATCACTTACAACCTCTCCTAAAATGTTTTCAAACATATTTCTATTAGTTCTTGCACAGAAGGCCCAACCATGGCTTCAACCATTTAAACTTTTAAAAAAAACAGCAATATAAAACTCTGATTAAAAAGTTGTTGTTTTTTTCACGAAACAGCTTGAACTGGAAGATGATATAATTATTAATAAAAGGAAGTGGCTATAATTCCAGTTAAATATTTAATTGAAAGTTGCTATCGGACCGTGTTTTTATCAGTTTTTTAGGCCGCCACAGGACAGAACGAGAAAGTCTGCCGATTTTTTCGTCCGACCACAGTTCGTGGGTTAAAAGATTTAAATGTACTTTTTACATCAATATAAATTATGAAACACTTTAAAGTCAAGCCTCTTTTCTAAACTTTTCTGCGTGGTACAATGTTTAAATTAAAGTAAAAACCTTTGTAATACCTTATCATTTTACTTTAATTAATCTCATCCTTTGCATCTGTTAAATGTAAGCTATGTTGAATATTTATATTGAGCTGCTTGTTTTTAAATGTTTACATATATATTGTAGCATGATTTCTATTTACACATTAATCAAACATGTTATACAATTTTTGTTTGTTCATTTGAACATTTAGGATTAATATTCAAGGTATATGTATTAAATAGATTTTGAAATAATTTTTTCAAAACAGAAACATTGGGTAAAAAAGACGGGGGGTGGGGGGTTGAGTTTTTAAAAAATCATCTATTATTTTTTCCATTTATTAATTCTTATTCCAATGCTGTTTGTTTCTAAATAGTTGGACTTGCCCTAAATTCTTTAATCCACTTAAACTATTTATGCATGTGAAAAAGACCCAAAGACGATAATTTATCATATCTGAAATACCGGTATATAAATATCTTTAGGACAAAAATAATTGTCCATTATAATTGCTCTTATGACTAAGAGTTCACCAGTCATAAATTAAATAAAATAGTACAATGGTACAAAGAAGTGTAAAGGAACAAATAATGTTTTCTTAATGCATATAAAGGACTAATATAAAATAAGTTACTGGTACTAGAAATTTAGTATTATTTTTATTTCATGTCCAAAAGAATGAAGATTTATTTCAGTAACTTCCACAAAGTAACACTGTATAATTTAAAACATTTAGCAAGTAGTGTAATGCCATAATAATTTCCATGTGCCTTCTGGTATACATTATAAATATGTTGTAAATAAATGTTTCTATGTTTGAATTATGTTACATAATTAATTTATTTATGCAAACAAAACAATTGAGACATCCTAAAAAGGGATGTTCCCAAAAGCACTGGGTACTTTTTTTATACCTAGTCCAATAAAAAAAACAAAAACAAAAAACAATCTATTTTGTTAACTTACTCTGTTGAAAGACTTGCATAGCAAAAACCATGAGAAAAATATTATTTCTTTCCTTTGTAAAAAATGTATATTGTAACCTTTCAATTAAGGTTGATTAAAACTGTGTTATTTATTTTGTGATTAATGAACACAACTTATACGGTAGTCTTATTTCTTGCCTTGATCCTGTTGATCTAATTTCAAAATTGCTTTCTAGAAAGTAAGTTTATGAACATAAAAAAAAACAACTGTTGATTGTTTACACATTTTTGTAATTCCACTTCATTGTGAACATCATTGTAATACATTGTTTTTTTTTTCTCAATTTGGTATGTTAACATTTAAAAAAGTACTTTAACTTCTTTTGAGGAAAACCCTCACTTGACCTATACTCAGATTTATTACCGGGTATTATTTTAATAGACTAGTATTAATGCTTAAAGATAAAAGACCTAATCAGAACACAAAAAATCGATCATAATTTCGCAAAAAAAAGAAATTGAAAATGTTTGGCTTTAATTCAGAACAAGAGGCAGTACTAGAGTGCCCAGAGTTTTAGTAAATATTGTATCTCTAGTTTTCAGTTTCTTCCAAATGTATCCTTTACTGCATAGTTAAATCATTCAGAGCATTATTTCTAAATTCATATTTCTATTGTTTTGATTAAATCATCTAAATGTATACAGTACACATATAAAAGTCTTTTCACATCATCTTGTACAGTCCTCATAAATGTAAAAGCATTTTTTATTATCTAGTGCTAAATTGTGTAAAACAATGTGATTTTGTATTTCCGTCAGTTGATATTTTATTTCACTGTGTGTCCTATTATATATGGAGTGAATTGATTACATTTGAAGATTTAGTTTTAAGTCTTTTTTATGTCCCTTGTTAAATGAGCTTTAAGCAACGTTTTTATTTACATTTTTTTTTAAATTTAAGTAATTAAGTTCACACTACACAATAGAGAATAAAAAAAACACAATTTGTCTTGTTAATATGTTTTATAAGGCATTTTTAAAAACAATTTTCTATTAATCTAATCCAATTCATTACATAAAATTTTTTTTTTTTTCAAGCATAGGAGTCATCAAAACACCATAAAAAACGAATACCTTAAGATAAAAGTATTAAAAACAACTTCTTTAATTTTTCTTAAATTAATTCCTAATTTTAAGTTAATATCATCGTCAAGTATCACATATTTTTTTATAGATCTATCTAACTTATGTTTTTTCAGTCCATAAAATTAATTACCATGTATCGAGTATGTTTCTTGTATAATTGGTATTGTAATAATTCATTTTTATGTGACACTGGAAATTTCCTTTCTTTAAAAAAAAAAAAAAAAAAAAAAAAAAAATAATTTTATTTTCATATATGTTAAAATATTATATTTTTCGTGGTGGATTATTTAAATATGTGTCTTCAAAAAAATGTGGCTACAAGTTTACAAGCACTTGTTTTGATGGAACTGATAGACTAAAATTACTTGTCAATATCAGTTTAGATTTTTAATTTAATTAAAGTGTTTTAAAAAGGTGTTGTCCGAAAATATTTAGCTACACATACATCCATTGTCCTAAACATTTTAATTAATAAAATAATATTTTGAAGTGGTTAATTACATAAATTAAACTTTAAATTAAATAAAATTTGAATATTTTATTCATACTACACAAATATATAATGCAAATTTTGTTTTGTTTTAAAGACTAAAAATGTGATACCAAAATCATTTGCAATATATCTGACCTGATTTATACAGTAAATTTGGAGTAATTAAATTTCAGTTTTTTTAAATATATTCGTTTTCTTTTATCGTTCGGACCATTACAAGATTAATTAAAAGAATGTTTCGATGTCCTTTTTACATTTGTTTACATTAAATTATATTCTAGGAACATAGCCATTTTTAAAATTGACTTTTAATTGGGGTAATAAATTCAACTAATATGAAACTAAATTCTAATTGGATTACTTCAATATTTCCTTTACCTGTACTTTATAAAAAATGTGAAATAGATTATGTCTAAAGAATAGACGCAATTTAAATTTATAATAATAAGCGTGTAGTACATCAACAGTTGTTTTAGTTTCTAACATCGGTTGATATTATGCAAACAGTACTGAATAATATTTTAAAGATTATGGAAAACGTTTGGTACATAGTACACAAATGGTGCAAAATTATATACATAGTACACAAATGGTGCAAAATTATATTTTCATCAGCTTGGCCAGTCCAAGGGAAGATGGAGACTGAAAAGTATATTATAAGATATCATAAGATAGTTTTATTGAGATAAATAAATTTAAATATGGTTTGATTATATAGTACATATTAATTTCAGCATATGGTTAAAAACTCTGATTAAAATAGCAATTTTTAAACAGGAAAAAATTAAATATAAGACATTTAAAGTTACTGAAAAGAACGTGTCATATATAAATATATATTTATATATATCTCCTGAAAGAAAGTAAGACTAAGATTCACATCATTAGTGTGTTTATTTACCACACTATGCGTACCGTAACGTAAATGTGTACAGTGTGCACCACCTCGCTGTGGACAGTGTAAATATCGCTTATATAGATTTAAAGACATGTCTGAACAGTGTAGCAAAACGAGACTATTTTATCGCGTAATGCAGGCACAGTCTGTTGCCATTATTCACAGTTGAACACACTGACATTCTCCACAAATAGGCATTAATTAGATGACGTAAGATCAGGTGAATGAGTCGGTAATGGAAAGTCAGTACTATGTGAAATGATTTGTTGGGAAATGTTTGTCTGCAGCATGGCAAGAGCTTCTCCAGCTGTATGGCTGGTTGCCCTCTCCTCTTGATACCACTGTCTATTCATGTAAAGTTTCCTTGCACGACGTGATCTTCTCAAAGCCTAAAGAAAGGTTTCAATCACTATGCTACTGAAGGGTTCTTGTTAAAGTCAAAAGCATAAACTTCTTTAACTTCTTAAATAAAATAAGGACCTAATATACCGTGTCCTGAGATGACACACCATATCGTAACACGAGTACTGTGTAGCGGTTTCTAGATATTAACACCTGGCCGCTCAAAACCAAAGTAGTGAGCATCTGAGGATTAATACAACCGTTCACGTGAATGTGGCTTTTGTTCGAGAACCATAATTTCCTAAAAAAAATATGGATCCTCGAATGCCATGGTCAAAGATGCTGCACAAAAAAAATTAATCTCGGCTCCCATATCTGGTTCAGTCAAGCCTTGCCCTACCTGTATTCAGTACCGGTACGAAAATGCTATAATGTAAGATAAACGGAGGACAGACGTATCGCTCATATTCAGTTTCAAAGATGTTTGTCGTAGAGTTAGAGGGGCGAATGTAGTATCTGCTGCAGAACATGTACGGTACGTGATTCTCATTTCACGAGACAGTTTCTGTCCGAGTAGGTTTACCCTTCCCCTGAGACAGTATACTATTAAAATGGCGAAATGTGTTAGCAGTAGAAAGCATATATGAGCGACAAAATGCTCAAATATGAAAAGTTTGTCCTCCGTAGAGAGACCCATTTCCAGCAAGCATGCCCAGCACAACTCGCTTTACACCTTTGAGAACACCTTGGCGACTGGAGCTATGCACGTACGTTTTGAAGAAGCAGCAGTTTCAGTACTGTTACTTTGGGTGCATACTGTGTTTCTCAAGTGCAAAAAGCCAGCTACTATTTATCGTAAAACTTCACTTATTGACCTTCAGATTGATTATTTTATTTTATAACAGCCGAAGTAGCAGGATGGTGGTACATTTAACGGGTTTGGGAATACATGAATGTCCATATCGTTCGGTCCTTACTTTGAGGAAGAGACCTTGACATGATCCAGGTGATATTATAGGGCTCATCAATTGATCCAAATAAATGGAAATTGTATTTGATTACATTTTAATTATTCATTTGTCAACACATAACCGGTGCATAAGTAATCTTAGAAAGACATTTTAACACTATTACAATTTTAACAATAAATATTTGAAATATTTATCAAGCGCAGAAATAATAATGTCATGGAATATGGCATGGAATTTCACTCCCTTTGTAACATTATTAAATTTAAGAAATATTAATTAGATTTCTTAGCAGTTGGTGCAGCACACTGTTAAATTATGTTAGATTGGGGAACAATAAATGAATTTTGATTTAACTTTGAGGGAAATAATTGAGCTCATCTTAGATATCTGTGATTAGGAAAAGGAGAACCCTCTTGTGTTACTGTGGTTTACCCCAGGCATGTTCACCCACTGAACTGGGGCATGCCTGCCTCATGGGACACCGATGAACAACTCATGACGTAGACGTTATAGTGTCTGCATAAGGCAAGTGGGATAAACCCGCTCATTCTGTGAATCAGCTTTGTCCGTGTTTTATATTTCACTGTACCGGTATATGTTGTCTCTTTTTTTTTTTTTTATCTGTACTTTTGGTTCATCATCAAACACTTGAACCACACGTTTTCGTGAAATAAAGCTATAGCTGTCATATATGCATTTCCTTGTTTATACATTTAAACTGCCATCCACGCACCACTCGATTACATATTATATATTAAAATTATAAGTAATTTTGTTAATAATGACACTTATAACATATGTGTGTTATAATAATTTAGTAACTTTATTGAAAAAGGAACAACTGCAGAGAAATGTACGGTCTCATAATAGTATTTGCAAAAATAATTAAAGTATATATTACATTTGAAGTTTAAAAAGCTCTACGGTATTTGATTTAACTGTAGAGGAAGTGCCAACTTTCGTATAAAAATTTTGCATTTTCCGACCTAGTGTCGATATGCTGGCCATATTTACAAAAACATATTTTTGTGATACGCATTATCTAATTTTCATGAGCATACAATTAAAAATACCACAAAAATTAAATAGAAGTTGTTACCTGATCATATCAAAATTATTGATCAACGATTCTCTGCCACACTGTTTTCCCGGTTTCTATTCTCAATGACAGCTTCATCATGGACATGATTCTCATCTTTATGTAAACGTTTATGGTGATAAAAGGAATAGACATTTTTTCGTAAATTTAATAAATAATAAATATTCTTTTTTTTTTTATCAGTAGCATACTTTGTTTTTATCTAAAAGAGGATCAGCAGACAACTTGCCACATTCTACTCACGATTTTGCGTTGCATTTCCCACATAATTTTAAGTGCTAAAAGGTGCTGTTATTGTCGAGTGCTTTATATTGTCTTTTATTCATACAATAATTTTAGATGTTTAATTGACAGTAATCCATTATTTAACATAAAATTTGCAAAATCACACTTTTTCAGGGAAAAGAAACATTGATCTCCACTTAAAAATACCAACCAGTGATAACATCTAATATCTCCAACTTTCTTACGTTTTTAATAAAGCATTTGTTCTTGTTTGATAAGTCATATCCATTTAAGGTCAGCAACCACGTGTTTGAAATATAAGTTGTTAGTGTGTATGATTTACCGTACTTTGTAAGCGAGGAAGAAGAAATTAAATTCATCTTCAATAGCCTTAGTAAGTTAAATAGCAAAATACCAGAAGAGACACGTGCTAACGCTTTTTAGGGTTAACGCCCAGGAAGAACCCCATCGGCAAACCCCATATTGTCAAATGGCCCACATTGAATAAAAACATGAATAATTGATTTGTTCCTTACTACCGCGACGCATCCTCGGATGGACAGGATAAATATGAAGTTTCTTACTAAATCTTTAGAAGCCTTTTTCTGAGTCCAGGTCTAGATTTTAAAAAAAAAAAAATTTTGTGAAGGAAAAAGTTCATCCTTTTTTTTGGTTTTATTTCATAGCACATTATTGTTAAAATAAAACTAAATAATAATCTCGTAAGAAATTAAACAACCCCTAAAAACATAGATTTTCGTGTAAATCCATTATAAAATAAAATATCAAGAAATGGGTGTTGAGGGTTGAAAATTTTACACATCAAGCATTCTTTATAAGAATCCCAATTAGTGCCCCTCCCCCACTTAAGGCTCGCAGCCGCACTTTTTTTTCATGCCCCTGAGCTATAATAATAATCTAATGATCCACCCGCTTATACACAGCAGATTAATGTCGTCAACCAATACAGAATAAACAACAACAACAACAAAAAAAAAACAACATTACGCACCAAAAGCCCTTGGTATTTTTTTATATAGAATCTCATTTAGCGCAGTAATCGGGTATTTCATTATATCTTCCCACTTAACATTTGTTTTTTAAATTTAGATTTTGGGGATCAGGCTAAAAATTTGATAAAATGTCACCGGAAACACTAGTTTGACAGAATGTCGATCAAGATTTTGCCAGTCAGTCGGTCAACTACAAAAAGGTAAGTTATTTAAAGTATTTAAACATAGCCCCTTAATCTCAAGGCTGGTAAAACGAGAGTGAACCCCATTCGAAACCATGTGAGTGGCTATCCATTTATTGCATACGCAAAAAAAGTAAATTATCGATCCCCATTTATCCTATGCACGCGAACGTGTTGGATACACCCCTATGCGTACGTACAATGAGTGATCCACACTCCATCCCCATCCCACATCTAAAAAAAAACCAAATAAACAATAGCAATTTATTTTCAGACAATATATAACAATACAGTTTTTTTTTTTTAAATATTTCTTGGATTTTTTAACAATGTTTGGCGAGCCCAGGGGTTTATAAAATATGCGTCGCCGCTTATCTGTGTTGCTCTCAGGCAGTGCCTCGAAAAGTTGCCCCTTGCCCCGCGCGTCAACATCAGGGGGTGTGGGGTTAATCATCCATGGATAATTAGACCCTTAATGGCCTCGTTTTCAGGCTCCCTTCTCTCTAGGCATGACCGTATGCCTGGGTTGCCACGGCTTCCTCATAAAGTCGACGCAAAATATTAAACATTTGTGATAATTGCATTTCCATTTTTAATCCAATGTGATCAGCGGACCTAATAAAAATAGTAACTTACTTGAATACAGGATACTACTGTTAAGAATTACAAAATTACGCTTAGTAACCTACATACATTATACGTGTTATATTTATGTTTACCTAAAACTTTTTTTTTTTTTTTAAATTTCAAAATGTATTCGCTGTTTTAGCATGCCTTTGTCAGAATTTAACATAAGGTGCCTGGTGAAAACGTACATTTTCAAGGATGACGGGAATGGAAACATTTTAGGAACCATTGGTGTAGCATAACAAAATAATTCACATGCACATGGAGCATGCGACTGACAATATATCACTGTTACTACTATTAGATATGTAGCGAGTTCACTTGTGAAAACACAAGGCAACATTATAACAACAATCTCTACAAAACATTGCATGATATTCTACGGCACAAAAATTATAAACAAGCTATTTATGGAATGTTATAATTTCAAGATAGTTGCAGAAAGTGTAAATATAGTTGCATACTTTCTGACGACCCTCCACCAATGTTCCCTTTAAGCTGCGCGGCCGCGCAGTAATCATACAGACGCCGCGCAGCAGTTTTGAGTACCGCGCAGCTAATTTCCACTTAAGTGTGTGTTTTTGTGTCTGTAGGCTGTAAAATTGTGCGCACAAAAAATTGATGCTGTACAAATGTGCACACAACTTTATGATTTTGCACACGAACCACCAGACCTTAGAGGAAACATTGCCCCCCCCCCCCCCCCCCTTTTAAAGAATTTCAATTAGTGCCCCCCCACCTAATCCCCCCCCCCCCCCCGGTGACGACATACGCATGCGTACGCAAAATTTACAACGGCCCCTCACCTTTGTGCTTACGTACTATATTGATATAATTGATGTCCCCGAAAAAGACATTTTTAGGTCACTTACGATTGAGCCACTTTACAACCCAACAGCAATTTATTGGTATTGACACCTGGTAAGAAAGCGGGTCACTTAACACGCAATGCGACCAAATAAAAGCAGGCACCCGGGTTTTTAGGACCAGGGGAAAACTACACTTGCGGTGGCTTTGCTTGGTTAAGACCCCTTACAATTTACAACAGAAATCTTCAGCAGACCTCACACCTTGCGGAAGATCGCCAAGGTTGTCTCCCCTCGACGCCTCGAATGCAGAAGTGGGCAGATTAAAAAAATAATAATTCTTTAAATTAAAAAATAAAAAACGAGCAACATTACAGATTGATTTAAATGTTGTTACATTCTTTCGTTCTTACCCGTGATTTTCCTCTTGTTCATGTTAACCTTTGTTAAATCTTGTTGAGCTGAATCAGTTGCCTTACAGTTTGGCATTTCATACGTGTGTGGGTTTTCTGTACATAACAAAAAGTAAAGGATAATTTCATGAAAAGTACAATTTTGTTAAATATTAAACCTCCTCAAGCCAACTTTTTTTTTCCTACTCATCTACATATTTCCGCTCATTATGATTCATAAAATTTCAAAAAATCCAATAATTCAGCATAAAGAGATCGGTAAACCCTACCAGTTAAAAAAAAAAGAAGATTTTGACTTGCGTGTATAATTAATGTCCTCAGATCTCCTATTCCCATCATGCCATAGATTCTCTTTGCGATCAACTACCGCCAACCCACAATCTCAAATTTCCCTTCACAACTTACGGCGCTAGGAATTTTCCTCTGCCCTTCTTCACCATCCTCTTCAGCCCATATTTTTTCCCTTATGAACATTAACCAGGTTAATGATTTCCCACTCGACTTCAATAGCTCCTTAATTCCTCAAACCCCACCCCCCATATCCGCAGTTAAAAAAAAAAAAATCAAGGACAATCTATCAACTTTCTTGAGAAATTGCCATTTCATTTAATGTTCAATTAAACATTCCAAACTAAAATCCCCCCCCCCCCCCCGGCCAAAAACAGACACAAACCTTACTTTTTTTATGTCATGTCCTTTAAAACTAATTCATCTATATTTTTATGTTTCAAAACGGTAAAATTGTCACTTAGTTTTGTTTTTTCTGCAACACCATTAATATTACCATGTGTTTGACATTTTTTAAAGAAAAAAACAACAAAAAACAACAACACATTTTTATGGAGTAGGAGAAAAGTGATTGGGAGTCGCTTAGTCACTTCCTTGTTTGGTAACGTGATGAGAGTAAGCCATCACTAGGCTGCTACACACAACAAAAGATACTTCATCAGTGCTTCCCCAATGTCATGTTACTTAAAAATTTTACCTTTCAAAATATTCTGGAAAACACGCGTTTTTTAAATGAAATACATACATCTGACAATAAATATACGTCAGTCATGATTAAAGGAAGAAAGTTATTTCAAGAAAAATGTGTGAGTGATATTCAATGGGAACTATCAATACTATCATCGCAGGCTGTTGTTGAGCTCCATGCGTGCCCATGACTCATTTGCGTGTTAATACAATTTTTGTGCAGGAGTCATTCCCCTTTGTTTATTTTATTGTTAATTTTCATTGGACGAAATGTCGGCATACACATGACGTCATTTGCGTTTTTATTCAATATTGGTGCAGCGAAGGAATATTTTAATAACAGGTTGGAACAAGATTTAATTTGAATAATTAATGAAGGTCCACTTTGTCAAGCCATTGTCCTAAATTTTCTTTATCCTTAAGCGGAAACTTATGCAGACTTATACCGCTGTCCTTAACTTGACTGTTTGAACAGCCAAAATCCGAACATTGCCTAGGCATCTTGAATTTTTAGTTGTAGTGTGTAACGGGCTACTGTTGTCAAGCACTAGTGTGTTGTATACAGCCTACCGGAAGTCTTACTCGTTTTTACTCTCATCACATGACAAATCAATCGACTAAGCGATTCCCATTCATTTATATATGAGGATTTTGATATTTTAAAACGTTTTAATGTTAAAGACGTGAAAATCGGTAAATAGATTTTTTTCGTTTAGACCCCAAACAAATTGAGGGGTTTAATTATTATCCCTAAGTATATTAGAAAAGGGGGGTGGGGGTGGGGCTGTCGTTGAATGGGATAGGGAGCTTATTTTAGAAATTAATCATTACCAAAAAAGAAAACTGAAGCCATTTTTGAAGTGGAAGTTGTGATTAGGATTCTTTAAAAAATAAAATAATAATAATAAACGAAACAAAATATTTATTTTGTTTAAAAAGGGGTGTGGGGTTGTCCTTTTGAGAACTTACCATTCATGGACATGGAAGAAGGGAGGGATGGCTTACATAATTTAAAGATAAATAAATGTCAAGGCAGCAAAGAGGGGTCATGTGATTGCATCCATAGTATTTTACATGCAGCAGTCTAAATTTCTGATCATATTTAGTGAGTTGTAAAGATAAAAAAATTGCAAATCAATATTGTAGCTGATAACTAAATTTTAAAAGCAGTATTGGAGGTTAAAAATTGATAGCAATTTACATTCAAATAACTAACAATGTACCATGCGTACTTATGATTTTGAGAAATATAATTGTCTTCTTACCTTCTATTTCTATGTCAGAATATGCTCGTGTGTTACTGAAGTGGTAAAAATACAAATTTATAGAGCAAAATATAAATTACATGAAAAGATAAATACATAAATTAGCGTTTTGTTATTTCTCATAAGTTATTTTTTTAATGCAATGTAATATTTCGGTGAGTGTTTTAGGGGGTGAAATTAAAATAATAACTGTTCAAATTAAAAAAAAAGACATTTTTGTTTTCCTCTTTATTAAATTGGAGACTTTTAAAACTTCGCAAAATGAAATAGGATAGACCATTGAAGATTTTCTTTACATTATTTAAGTATAAATTTTTTTTTTCATTTTGATGAATTTCTTATGATTTATTTGCTTAAATTAAGCCAGAAAGATTCCCAACAATTCAAAATACGGAAATATATCAAAGAAGCTATGTAAATTCTTAGAAACGTTACAAAAATAACCCCCCCCCAAAAAAAAGCCAACTAAAACCGCATGAAGCATTCTTCCGCGAACCATACAAAGAAAGAGTCACACACATACAAAAATTAATTTAAAATAAAAAACTATCTTAAATGTAACAGGATTTCAGTCTCACCCCCTTACATTATTAAAACACATAGGTGATTGTAATCGATATTGGTTAATCATGAAATAAAAAGGGCTTTCTAAACCCAGGTTTTTGTCCCTGCTTACCATTTAAAAAAATATCACATTTTTAAGAGATCAATTTCACTTTACAATAAATAAGATGCTCTATCTGTCCACTCGTAGTTTCGAAATTTACTGTTATCAGCATTATATATTTTTTTTTCTTTATCAATGGAGATATATTGTTATGTCCTTCTAAGGGAAGCTAGACCGAAAATTGGTTAGAATAAACCTGTATTTGTTTTGTTTAGAGATGCAAATCCTTATCTCAGGGGTCTCAAACTCAAATTATCTGGTGGCCGCAGGAGGTAGAGTCTGAGTGAGTCTGAGCCATATCAAGTATTCCACAAAAAGATGACAAATTTAAGAAGGGACAACTGTTACAATGTGCTCAAACTTTATTAATAACACATACAAAGCATTACGTTTTTTCAAGGACTAGGCTTCACTTACTTCCTCCTACTCCTTTTTGCCAGAGACCTGGCAGTTCTCTTTCTTACAGAGCTGAGCAAATTTTGCATTGATTAAGGAAGCAAATGAGACCATCAGTATAGCTTGAAGATGCTCATCAGTAAGTCACTGAACTTTGACTTTTTAAAGTTCATAATGGATAAGAGCTTTTCACATGTGAAGGGTGAAGGAAAATTCTTTCATAAATTGTCCATGCTTGTCTGTTTTTTCATTCCCCTCTCAGAAGGTAGCCTTTATCTCAGAATTGCATTTAAGATCAATCAGGTCAATTTCAAGCACATTGCTATGATTTACACAATTATGGTTGTGTATTGCCCAAGTACTGACTTTTTAAACTTTGATATGCGTATGTGCAATATTCGAAGCGTGTTTTATCAAAACCGCCCTTTGGCCATCTTTGTTTCACAAAATACTACAAAATAAAAATTTTTAAACCGATTTTAAAAAAGGTTCTACCACTGGTATCAACGCCCAAACTTATGCAAACAAAATAAAAAATCAGAAATGGGACTAGTCGGAGAAATTGGACTGAAAAAGTCACAGAGGGTAACATTATAGATATAACAATGAGGAAAACGCGCGGGCCGCAATAACACTATACTATGCTGTCAATTATAGGGCTGCAAAATGTCTTCTTGCGGACCGCTATTTGCCCATAGGCTGCGAGTTTGAGACCCCTGCCTTATATAGTCCACAGTACACTAACCAAATATTTCAAAAATAAAAATAATAAATTTACTCTTTTTTCGCATTCCTTGACTTTGTCACACATTTTCCTGAAAAAAATATATTTTGATAAAAAATTATGTGCAATTTTAATTACCGGTATCAGTAGTTCATCATAAAAAAATGGTAATCCAAGATAATTTTAAATTAATAGGTTTCAACACCAAGTATCTGAATGTGTAGAATAATTCTTATAGATGTACCATTATTCTTTTATTGTTTAATAATATTTTAAAAGTTAAAATTTCAACAGTATAAACAATGTTCTATGAAATAAATTGTTTCTTATGGGTTTTTATATTTTACATAATGTTCTAATATTTTAGAAACCTAGCATAACATTTTAATTTTTAACATTGTCGTTTTCAATGTATAAACCTTACTCGTTATTAAAATGTTGAATTTGCAACAACAAAAAAATAAAAATAACTTAAATATCCATCCCTATCTGTGGCGCTATAGATCATGTAGATAGTGTCACTGTCTGACTATATCCTCGAGGTGGTGGCAGTGACAGTGGCTAGATGCGCAGCTAAGGAGTCAGAGGGTACAGGTGTCCCAGGGCTTCAGTCTAACCGAGGTGCAAATGTGGCCTTTGGTTGTTAATATATATATGACATCATTCCGTCTTCGTGGGACGATGGAGTAGCTATATAGCTCTACACTTTGACGAGTGGCTCACTAGGCCAATCCTAGAGTGACAATCATGGCCGTATCTCTCGCAGGAGAATATTGAGATCTTGATTTTCGAATTGATCTTTTTCTTCAAGGGCATCATTTCTACTATTTTCTGCCTTTTTTACTCTCAGAACGTAAAATGCTTAGGTTTGGGGAATACGTGATAATTCTTGGTCAAGGGTCTCATAGAAAAAATCTTTCTCTTCTGGAGTCGAATGAAGAGTTGGAGCATACACACTGAATACGTTGACCTCGCCTGCTGATGATGACATCCACAGTCGCAGAAACCTCTCCGATCCCAATGAAGGAGGTTCAATACAGGCCAATAATATGTTTTTTTACGGCAAATCCAACACCATGCCATCTAGGTTCATCTGCGGGTTTCCTCTGCAAGTAGAATGTGTAGCTGGCTTCCTTTATGGTACCACTCTCCGCTAGTCGGGTCTCTTGAAGGCCTGCAATATCAATGTTCAGTCTGGCGAGTTCTTTATCAATTACGGCAGTCTTCCTTGCGTTGTCAATCTGATCAAGGTCCGTTTCAAATCCAGGACACATGGTTCTCACATACCATTTTGCTAAGCGAAGTGGTTGAATCTTCCTCCCATTGACTTTTTTACCTTACAAAACAAACTTGCTCCTCGTAAAGTGAGCAGCTAATATAGCTACTTAGCCTGGACGGTGATTTATGAAGAACAGCTGTTACCCAATGCAGCAGATCCCCACTCTCCACGCAACAAGTGGACCCATTGGAATGACAAATGTCAATACAGCTTGGCACTGTCTGCGTCGCAGGAATTGACGAAATGACATTATTATCGGCGTCAGATCAACTTCGGAACTCCATCTCCGGATTTGACAGTTTGGGTTTATTCCCGCAATCTTACCCAAGATTTCCGCATTGTATTTGCATATTTATATCAGCATATATTCATAATTTAACCTTTTTTTAAACAATTTTGGTATTCATAAGTTTGCGTGTGAGCTATCTTGGTTGTTATAGTTTTTAGATAATAATGGGTTTTAGAGTCTAGGAGTGGAGTGTAAAAATGAATATTTTCCTCTGGTGCAAAACACTCTAAATACGCCATTAACAGTTATGCTTTTGTGATGAAATACATTTTAAATGGCCTAATACAATCAGTAACAAACATATACTAGAAAGGACTTACCAGGTGCCCATTAATGAAGATATCACAAAGAAAGAATTAAAGTGGACAGGGCATACTCTCCTAAAATCCTTAGATAGCATCACCAGAAAATCCCTAACATGGAATCGACAGGGAAAAAGAAAGAGAGGAAGGCCAAAGAATACATTAAGACGAAGCTAGAGGCAGACACTCAAAAAATAGGATACACCTGGAAGCAACTGGAAAGGAAAGCACAGGACCGTGATGAAAGGAACATTCTAGTGGAAGGCCTATGCCTCAGACAGGGTAAAAGAAATTATATACCTTGATATTGATGTAAATATAGTTTACAATAGTGCTATTAAGGTCTTTAAACTTGTGAAGTTGCACAAAATAATTAGATCTAATTAGAAATTGCGATATATTCTGGCAACAAGAAGTACGATTTTTGCTCATTATCGGACGCAGCCAATTTTCGAAACAATACGATATTTTTAATTGAATAGTGTAAGCCTCTAACAAGATTATACTTAAATATACGGATCATCAAATATATCGATCGTAGCCATATTATATCGATTTTACTAAATGATATGGTGAAAGGCAACAGTTCTGTTCTTTTTAAAGTTGTGAAAAAATAAAAATTTGATAGTTTTTAAAATAAAATAACTTTTCGATTTATTGTTGTTCATATTTTGCTCCGGGGGCACTTGACTTTCCCCGGAAGGGACGGGGGTAGTGCTCCCAGGAACGATGCCTGAAAGAAACACTGCCTGTAGGGTTTTGGCCTATTTCACTACATCCTTCCACTGAGACTTAACTGAAGCTTTTCTTTTCCATGTTTTGATACACAGCTTCTGTAGTTTCCCTATACATCTTCCATCCATCCAAGCCTTGTTCTTCCTTTAAGCTATCTTCCTCTAAAGATTTGGTGATGTACCCTCTTCTCTCATCTGTTATTTTGGACTCTTTCTAAGTATCCCGCCTAGCATAGCCTGCCTTTTTTAAATTTACGCTACTAGCGTAAGATCATAATAAAAATTATACAATTTCTGGTTGGTTCGTATTCTCAATCTATGTTCATCCAATGTTGGGTCTCTAGATTTTTCGGATAACTTTTCTATCCCATGTGTTTACTACGTTTTCTGCCATTTGTATTAGAGTCCAAATTTCACTTGCTTATTTCAACTAAAAACATTTAAATATTTTATTAAATTTGCATACATGCAGAACTTGCTCTCAGAAAAAAATGTAGGATGGAAAACAAAATGAGAACTTACCTTTATATCGACAAACAATGAACACCGTAAAAGCTACAAGAAGAACAAGGACAAGTATGCCGGCTGTAACACCAAGTCCAATAGTAGCTGCCTTGAAACCATTATCTAAATTACTTTGATCTGTTTCATTAAATGGGAGAGGTTCCATAATATTTGCTTTATTTAAATTAATTGAAATTTAAACAAAAACAGATTAATTTTTGTTTTGCTTATGGTTAATTAATAATTACTAAAAAGTCATTTGTATTGAAAGAGACGAAAACAAAATTATTTAAATTAGATTAAAAGTAGTAAAGAATTGGAACACGTCCATGAAATTGGCATGCTGAAGAGAAAGATGAAGTAATAATGAATAGACAAAACTGGAAGATGTAATTTACTATAAAAAGAATGACGTAATAAGTATTGATCCTTATACATAAACTCAACATTAAAAATTAATCATAAATCAACTTTAATCCTTAAAAAAAAATAATATTCAAAGTAAGCGAAAGAAATGACAACAACTAATAATTTTTTTAGATCAAAAACAAAAAAAACAAAAAAAAAATGTTAGCTTAGTCTCTATCCCTGCATTTTCATGCAACACTGATAATCTAGAGGTAGCCCCAATCCACAATACTCTCACGAAACTAATATATTCCATTAATTAAAATAGATATTTTCTTCTCACTGATAGGTCGACTCAACATAGGTTTAATAAGGATTACCGGTAGTATTTAAATGCCGATACTAGTGTTGGTTTCAGTATTATCCTCTGAGGAGGTATTTCGCAAATATTGGTAGTCATTCTGTCTGGAATCAGTTTATTAGAATTGGTATAAGGTGAGTTTTTGAAATCCTTTGATACAGTTCCACTGTGTTTTATAAATGTGATCTTTTTTTTCTTTTTCTTTTTTTTTCTTTTTTACATTGAATGCCTTTCTCATATTTTCAGCTTCAATTATATAATATCTAAAACTTTTCTATACTACAATGTGTCTCATTTTCCATTAAGGTTTCTTTGGTTTCTAGAAGTAAATCGGTTGTTGTGGCTGCATAGTTGGTAGATCATGAACGTTCTAGTATGATACTTTTCAACTGCGTTTGCTTCAAGAGGTTTGTTTTTCTTCAATAGTCAAATTTACCCCTTTCCTGTGTGTCATTAAGAATGTTGTTTTCAATATCCTTCCAAACTTCATTTGTGCTTGACCTACTCCACAGTTGTGGATTCGAAATTGTTAATGTGTTCCATTTTTCCAGGGTCAAATTCAATTCCCTTTCACGAGTGAAGTGATACCTATATGTTATCTAACGCTGTTTAACACTAGTTGTTTTCTTTATTGACAATTTATGTTTTCTTTACATCGTTTAACTAAGGCCTTTTTGTTTCTTGAGTGTCCGCTTTAGTGTGATTTCTTTTTTTTCCCCTGCAAGAAATCACAAAATCATCTGTCACATTTAAACAAGGATGTCAACACTACAAGTCTTGGAGAAGTGTTACTTGGGATTTCTCACTGTTTTTTTTAAAATCTATATATTTACCTAGTCCATTTAAATGACACAAAATGTGGGATCATGGTCGTCAGTTAATTCATATAATTTGACATGCCAGTAAACATCGTCAACAATCAGTTCTGTCAATATGTTTGCATGCAAAAACTTAGGTGGCACTTATTCAAATATAGGCAATTTAAAATGCTCTCGTTTCTGAACTTTATTCAAAGGACGAGTCTAATCAAATCCTGATTTTTCAATGAGCCTTCTTTACCACAATCCTTTGGTTTACCCAAGTAGAATGTTCATCAAACGAGTAGCTGTCCTGGATAATTTTGAATAACCGTTAATCATAAAGAATCCAAAATTACCCATAATTCATAATTCTGCGATTACAAAAAAAAAAAAAAAAAAAAAAAAAAAAAAAAAAAAAAAAAAAAAAAAAAAAAAAAAAATAAAAAAAAAAAAAAAAAAAAAAAAAAAAAAAAAAAAAAAAAAAGAGTTTTAACACTTGATCACTTTGATATTGATCAAATTCTGCAAATTCATCACGAGATCAGCGCTACATTGCATTGTCCAGATCCAGAAAATTAACACAAATTAAATACTGCATGAAAGAAAACCCAAAGCAAAGTAAGCTGTTTTGCTCGTAACTTTTCTCGCAATAAAGTGTTTCATGAAAGGTAACATAATATGGAAACATAATTATTTTGCAACTGTAATTAAATTTTGCTGAAATTGGATGTTTGAAAATGTGTCATCAATCTTACTAAGTTGTGATGCTTTAGGCAGCACATTAAATATCTCGTTTTAAATATATTTATACATTTAATAGCTAAGAAAAACTCTATTTAAAACAAAGTGTAAATTTTTTTTTATAATAAAAAATTTAAAATTAGTTAAAAACTAAATTAAAATGTTAAAACAAGCTCTTACACAGCTCTACGTTGAGAATAATGGTGACTCTTTTCTGTGGACAGTTGAAGTCATCACGCCACACTTTGCACGTGCAAGTTGCGTAATCGTTCAGAGTTGATGTATTTAAGATCACACTTGTCATATCTATATCTGTTTAAAAAAATAAATCAATTTATAAAGTTGGTCATTGGGCGTGTAAAAAGGTTAATATTTTAAAATTTTAAATAAGTATTATTATTTTTTTAAAATTCAAATACTATTATTCTATGTCAAGATAATTTTTTCAAATTCTCTTATTTTGATTCCTCGCAAGCATCTGTTTATAAAAAAATGCTGTTTTTTATGTTTGTTTTTGTTGTTCTCCAAGTGTTACATCCATACAGAAGAAGTGCATTGACATTGGGTTGAATATTTTTAACTTTGATTCTTCAGTATTTTTTTCCCCAATGGAAACAGAGATAAAAATGAGAAAATCGAGATAGTTTGGGCACGCATTAAGGAAACCAAACACTAACATCAAAATACAAGCCCTGAACTGGAATTCTCAAGGTACCAGGAAAAGGGGAAGACCAAGAGCCACATGGAAGAGGGGATTGGAGACAGAGGTGAAGTGAAAGCTTGGCTGAGCTGGAAAAGATGGCCCGGGACAGATGGAAAAGTATTGTGGAGGGCCTATGCTTCATTGGGAAGAATGGCTAAGAGAGAGAGAGAGAGAGAGAGAGAGACAGAGAGAGAGAGAGATGTCAAGATAATTCATAGCATATATTGTATTGTTTTATGTATTAAATTATTAAATTATTAGCAAACACGTCTTAACAAAAGTAATTACAATTTATGATTATATGTTTATGAAATTTAAAAAAAAATAATATTTTATATAATTTAATTAATTTTAATTCAAATAGTTTGTTTTAAAATATTCACCTGCTTTATTTGAGGAATAACTTTCGATCGTTCCACATTTTAAACTTATGTTTTTATGTGGAGGGAAACCTCTTTTGTATTCGCAAATTATAGAAGCAATTCCTTCATAAAGAGACAGCATATTACCATCTGCTGTACTTTTAACACCATTTTTAATGCTGTATATTATTGGAGCATCCGGTAAATCTACAAAAAAAAAAAAAAAAAATAAAAAAAAGAATAAAATAATTAAAAAAAATTATAAAAAATTGAAATTTTCTTTAAAAAATAATAAAAAAGCTTAGAATTTTTTTAAAGTTAATTTCAATTCCTTCATAAAGAGACAGCATATTACCATCTGCTGTATTTTTAACACCATTTTTAATGCTGTATATTATTGGAGCATCCGGTAAATATAAAAAAAAAAAAAAAAAAAAAATAAATAAAAGAATAAAATAATTAGAAAATATTTTGCAGGATTGAAATTTTCTTTAAAAAATGATGAAAAAGCTTTGAATTTTTTTAAAGTTAATTTTAAAATTTGATTATTTTTTTTCAAAGAAGAATTTTAAAAGAAAACAGTAACTATTGAATACGCAAAGAAGCATACAGTTGAATACTACAATTAGACTTATTTAATTTCTGTAATTGTTTTCATGCTTCGTATGGTTAATTCCTTTTTTTTGTACCAATACTGGTGTACCTGGTGATCATTTCTTTGGTTGCGAGAATTAAACTCCTGATATTCCAGTAAAATTATATCTTCCTTAAATGACGCTGCAACATATCGGAGCTCTATCACACTAAAAAATATAGACATATATCTACAAAAATACAAGACCTAAACCAAACGGATTTTGTAAAAGGATAAGTCTACATTCACAACAAATAGTTGTTAACTAATTGGAGTCAACAACCTACATATCGGTGCCAAAATGAATGAAGTAGATTAGCATAGCGATTATCACTTCATATGGAGATGTCCCGTCTACTTCTGGTAACTACTATACAACACATTTCCGTACAATAAATCAGTGCAACTCAAAGTGGGGGTCCGCGGACCGGTGCCGGTCCGTGGGCCATTATCCGCCGGTCCGGAGAGCATGAATATTGATGTTTAATTAGAAAGAAAAAGTAATTAATAAATCTGGCACCGGTCCCTGGTGCAGTTTCGAAACTTGTCCACCGGTCCGTGAAACTTAAAAGTTTGGGAAACGCTGCAATAAATGACCTCATCGGTCATCCATGTGCCTTATACAGATTGTATTTCTAGAATGTATAGCGAAGGTTGTTTGTTGGTGGGGTAAAACATGAATTTCTCTTTAATGTGATTTTATAATTATAAAGATTATTACCTAATATAAGTTGGCTCTCGTACTGCCCCACTGTCTTGATTTTATCTGTTAAGTCTGATGTTATGTTTGGATACATGACAACACTAAAAAAATGTGATCCATGTCCTAAGATGCAAGCAGAGACAGTGTATGTGCATTCTGTCCTAATGTATCCATTAGTGCTGGATGGCTGATTTTTATAGAGGATTGATCCATTTGTCAGTTTAACTAAACCTGTTGTCTGAATGAAAGAAAATATATTTGATTTAACAAATTTAGATACTATATCGAACATAAATATGATTTTTGTTTAAAATTGAGACAATTAGATAACAATACGAATCAAATACAAAAGTGTGCACTTTAGGTATTTTTGGCAATCAAAGGTCACAAAGAGAATAGCAACTGTATAATATGAATAGAAATGATGTTGTTATATTTTAAATCAAGAAACTAGGTTCGTGTTTGTGATATATTTTACCCTTTATCATTTTATAACAGAAGTTCTCAACGTCTTATAATGTATCTCATCTGAATGTCCATAGAGTCGCGGTTACCTTTGGGCAATAATATAATACAAACTATTATATTCATATTGTAGTTATACATTTTTAATTTAAGTTATAATTGAGTCCATCTTAATTGCGCAATATAGGAACGTCTGTTAGGAACGATGTTTTTTGTCAACAAGTTATAGCCCGCGAAACCATTGTGACGGTATTGGGTGGACTTTCCACTTACTTAAGTTACTTGACAAAACATTCTTTTTCTCTCCCCTAAAATAAAATAATATTTTTAAGTCTTAACACCTTTACACATCAGATTTATTAGACCATATTTAAATTAAGACTATGTGCATAGAAGAAAGAACATATACGCATTAAACGCACTTGCGGTATTTTTAGAAATCACACTTCGCACAGTAATTTAGCATTTTATTTTGCGTGCTATGGAGCTCACCTCTACACCACAAGCTCGTAGATACTTCTATGGATTTATGTTTTAAACGTTAAAAAGATTTAAAATTGATATTTTAAAATCTAAAGTGTGATATAACTTTTTAGTAACATTGCTAATCATTTTATATTTATTATTTTCCTGCTAAGGATAATGAGACATCTTTAATAGACTTGATATGTAGCTCGCACTAGTGACTCATCAAGATATATTCTTTAAAAAAAATGTAATACCCGGATATGGGAATACATAGTCTAAATTTTAAAAGTAAATCCCCTGCTAAATTTCAAAGAAAGTTTTACTTTCATTGTTACAAGTTTACAGAGCTTGCCGTAGTGATTGATTATTCACAGACAATAAAAACGGGTAAATAATATGGAAAAGTAAATCCATTACCTCTTGGTTGCATTTATTTCAAACTGTTTTCTCTTGAGCAAAGTTAAAAAAATATAATATTTGACCAATGACCTACTTACATTAGTATTGATATAAAATTCACAGATGGCTGCAGGGTAAACAGATTCCGTCAAACAATGTATCTGAATGTTGATATCATCAAATAGAGTTACTGTGTCACATGTTGGCGTTTTAGCTTGAGCTGAGAAAAGTTTGGGAGGTTAAAATGTTTTAAGGCATGTAAAATAGTATGAGTGCTTTCACGGCATATTTCCTTAACCAATTTACAGAGTATTATTATTTTACACATATTTTATTTCTTATATGGCGGAAAAAGAAGAGAAATAAAGAAACAATATTTGAAGATCTTTGCAGGTAGTGGTTTACAAAGAATATAAACTACACAGTAAAAAATTTAAAAATTATTTGAATGATGTTGAAATATATTTAACTCACCAAAAACATTGAGATGATACTGCGTTAAAATGTTTGAGTTATTACTTAAATCGGCTAGACTCATCCAGATTGTATTATCTTGAAATAATTGGACAGATTTGATAGTAAATACACTTATGTATGCAGAGGAATTCGACGTCATGTTTGCCTCGTAAACCGAAGATGTGTTTTCATCAGCGGCATCACATTTTGGCATGTTATAAATAGAACACTGAAACTGGGTTCTTGGCACATAATTTTTCCAAGTGAGGGACACTAGGCCATCCTTAGCTTTGGTATAGACAAAAGTAAATGAGTGTGGTCTTTCAACTGAATTCCATTCGTCTCTATACATGCCTGTTGAATATTAAATGAATAAATGAATGTTTTACTCAAATAGAATATAAACACACACACACACACACAAATATATATATATATATATATATATACATATATAAATATATAAATATATTATATAATATTAAGTATTTAGTAACTTTTCATCTAAATAATAGTAAAATAGATTTTTTTAAAGTTGCAATAAATATATAGTAAAACAGTTTGCTTATGGTTTAATTTACTATAACATAGTTAATTTTCGCCTAGTAACAATTATACAAATGTGATTATACAAAGAATAATAATGCGCATAATTCAAATAATTCAAATAATAATAAAAAATAATGTAGAAAAATATCATATGTTATAGATATTTAAAAATTGTTGCTTTGAAATTAGCATATATTTGTACTTGGAAGGGTAAACTCTAAGTCAATATAACGGAACTAAATGCTTACGTCATTATTGCAAGTTTTTATTTTATAGCATATGAAAACAACTTGTTTTTCCATTGCATGCGTAAATGATTAAGGCTATATTCGACGGTGAATAAGCTGGTGGCCAGACAGTCATATTCCTGAATGGAAAGCTTGCCCGCTTGTAGAATACACTTTTCCTGATGTCATAAGGAGATTTAAGGCCGTTCTATTTTTTCCTTTGCATGCTACCTTTGGGAAATAAGTGGTAGTAGTACTCTCTGAAAAATATATCCAAACAGTGGGTCTTCCTAGCCAGCTTGTGTGATTCAAAGCTAGCATTTACCATGAGTTCAGGTCAATATCCATTGATTAGAGTGACGATTTATGCTATTCTTTATAGCGTTTTTACTCCCACCAAGGGAGCGTTTTGATGTCGACATTTTTCCCATACATTAGTTGTTTATGATGTGTGTTATTAGACTAATCTGGTAAGGACTTTTCCCTCCAACGTATGTCAAAAGATTTGTGTAGTCAGCATAGTTGAAGATGGTTTATTTGTCTAGCCTGTATGCTTTCATCTGTCCATGACTCGCTGGCGTGTAATAAGTTGTTAATACGATAGCCATGACCTTGGTGATAAAAGCGGAGTCTCACAAATACATTTGTCTTGTAAATGTTTTGTGTGAAATCATTTCCTGTTAATACTGACTATGACTATAAATATGTGATTTGTTCCTCTACTTGGAAATTGTGTACTTTAAGTGAACATTATTTTATTTGAAATATTCTCCTTGTGCTGGCTCGATCAATATCACGGTTTTGTTTGTATTGATACCGGGGACATAGTTGAAGCAAGCCTTATCAAAGCAATCAAGTATTTGTTTAACTTTAGTTTTGAACTAGGATTTAAGGCGTAAAGTGGTATTATCAAAATATTATTCTTGTACACCCATTTTAATAAAAATGATATATTTAAACTTTAAGCGACACATGGATGAAAACTTAAGATATTCAACAAGAAACTTTTAATATAATGAAGTAGATTTTAAAAATACTATGTGTATAACTCATCGCGCAGATAAGATGATGTATCGCTATTACATTACTTTCAATAGTCAGCTATAGGCGAAGCTATTTTCCCGGGGACGGAAATTGGGATAGAGATGGAAAAAAAAAGTGTAAAGTTAAATTGCAGTTAGCTACCAAATAGCGGCGCTTCTAAGACAACCTACTATAAAGATGGAGTCCAAGGCCAGGCTAGGTAGCATTTTTTTTTAAAAATTTCAAATGTTACTTATACATGAAAGACCTGGGCCCTGAATGAAAGTCTCGAGAGAAAATTCTTCGACCGCAAGATGATAATATTAGGGCCAGCAGCTAGTAAACCGAGGAGAGACTGAATTCAAAAACAAGAAATAAAACAAATTGTTATTTAACTTTTACTTATAATTTAGAACATATTTCCGTTAAAAAAATATCGGTCGGAAAATTAATTCCAAAAAATAATGAACACAAACTTTCTGATATAAAGGATTTCCTTCTTCAAAGTGAAACGGAGACCAAAATGTTGTACGAATGTCTGTGTTAAGAATAACTTAAAAGTCCACAGCTTGAACCTTGCAGCTAATTAGTGTCAACTTTATTTCGCTGCGACGCATCCCCAGTAAAAGTGGGCAGAAGTAAATGAAGGTATACGTTGTAAGATTTTAATCAAAGAATTTATTTGTAAGATTTTAAATATTTTCATATATTTTTATGTATAAATATATTTGAACACTTACCAAAGCATATCCTAATCAGCATTGAAAGTGAAATTGTTTTGGAAAAATACATCATCATCATATAGTCGTATTTTTTATTTTTTTGTGCTATAAAGAAAAAATCCAACAAATAATTAAATTTATTAAAAATAAAATCTCATTGTTTGACACAAAAACAATAAATAGGCGAAATTGAAATGTAAAATAGTGCAATCTCGCTATTTAGTTAAAATATTTAAATTTTTGAACACAAACGCTTTATAAAAATTTAAAAAAAAAAAAACTATTATTTGATTAATCAACACTTTTTACGAAGTAATTATTAGTTTAATAACAGATTAGATAAGGTAAGTTTATTCCATTTTAGAGTTACAATAGCAACGCATAATATTTTGTTTAATTTTGTGCAACAATAATTTTCATGGATTCATCAGTCTGTTCTTCTCTCAACATAGACATGTGTTTTTTGTTGTTGTTGTTAACTTTTAGCCCTGCTTGTATTGATACAAATTCTAATACAAAAAAGGCTTTTGATATGTCTTTAATAGTTTTCCTTAACAGTGCTATGTCATCCGAAGGGGCAAAATATTAAAATGGTTTATTGTAGAGTGTTTTTGGTTGTGGGTCTTGGGTCTCTCTCAGAAAGTATCCTGCTATTGTTCGTCGGGTGTCGATAGGTATGCTTCTTAAAAGCTGTCTCCAATAATGGAATATTAGCACGGTGGCAGTTGCGGGTATTATTGATGTGGGGGCTTTATTGAAATAGAATACATCGCAAAGGTTGATGCATAATGTTTTGAATGAAACCTAGAATAGTTTGACATCTGCACTTTTACAATGGCGTCTTTCAGAACTTCACTGTCCTTCACTTTTTAATCGCGCTGCAAACTGCTCGGTCGTTTCATCTGTCCTTACCTGCTTTATGTGTCACCTGATGCGTTTTAATCGCGCCGTATGTTAAATACTTTTCTTTAGGTTCTTCTTCTCTTACTTGCAAAATTTTTTGCTGTGATGTTTTATTTGATCTTGTGTTAAGCATTTGCTTTTACTTGGTTTCTATCTCAACCACATAGCTTCGGGGCTTTCTTTTGCAAACTTGTATTGGCATTTATGTTTTTTTCTTTCTCCAGTATAAAGTATAAAAGCGAATTATGGCTTATACGTGCAATTGTTAACACTATATTTCTTGGTTAAATTTCCTTTGCATTATCAAATGTTTAAAATAAGCGAATCTAAAGTTATATATAAGGGGTGGGCACATTTTTTGTGCAGAGGGCGGCTTGTGAATTTAAAAAGAAATTGGTGGGCAAACATAGGAATATAGACAATACAATGTACATATTTTTAATAAATACATTTTAACATTGTTGTGTTGATGTGATAACGGACACATTAAATCTGATAACGTAAGGCTTCATTCAAAGAACAGTCAAGGTTCTCTTGCCAGAAATGCAGCCGAGACTGCCATTCCAGGACCGCTTCGTAAGCTATTTGATAAAGTGTCAATAGCTAATCAAGCATCTCGCGATGACGGAAGGATGCCTTATATATGGATAATTGCGAGTACCCGGCATGCGTTGCAGTGCAACTCAAAGAAAGAAATTGTTTGAATTTTAATTATGTTTGTTGGAGAGCTTTTAAATACACACCGTTTTTTTTCAGTCTGGTGCATGCACGAATAAATCAGAAGGTTTTGCAAAGCCAGAGCAGGCCACATACATGTGTCAATGGGAGAAGCATGGGTTTTCCAAATTTAGTCCGCAAACTTTTAGCGATTGAACCTGTGCTTTGTAGATAGACTTTGCAAGCGCGAGTCGCACTGAAAACTGCAGACGTTTGAATTCAAATGGCATATCCGTTTGAATCATTGGGATGCGTGGAAACACTACATCTTCTCCTCCTAAATTTTCCACTTAAAATAGTAGCTTCGATGGTATTTTTCATCATGTTTTTCAGTGAAACTTGCTAGCGCTGTAAAGTCGTGGTGGATTTATATTTCGTTAAAGAATAACAGACACGCCAATTTTCACTGTTATAACGTAAGATAGAATGCCTGACAAGTCAAGTGATTGGATAATTGACATCTTCGTCTCGATTCAATAAAGTATCGATGGATTTATACGTTGTCGTTTCGCCTGGGATTTCATTTTGAATGCTAAAGTTGATGGCATTGACATCGTTGTTTTGCGTGCTAATAAAGCACATGCACTGAGTCACTGATGATTTTTTTTATATTATTCGATATTTGGAAAAAAAATATGAATGAAAGCGTCGGTGGTAGCTGTAATTTTACAGAAGCCTTTTGGCAGTGTATAACATTGTGTAGATTCATCAATTGCCATTTTCCCATTCCCAATGTCCAAAAATTGTTTTGCGAAACGTTCAGTAGATGCATTATTGTGTAGTTGTACACGCTTATTGGTCTTCAATGTCAATTTCTGTACATGTCCCTATAAAACTGATGAATTGAGAAAGGCATTTAATTCATCAACAGCTGTTGAGGCCAGCATCCAAAAGAATTGCTGCAATTCCAAATGATGCGATTGATTGTAAAAAAAAAAATGTGATCGTATTGTCACCAAAATAAGTGAAATTAGGAACGTTTTTCCTATGCATCCGGGCGCAGCTAGGAAATATAGTCCCCCGCTTTGAATTGTAATTGCATGCATAATTCTGTAATACAATATGAGTTGTTCTGGAGCCAATTTTGGAAGATTCTTCTGAACAAATGTACCTAATTCTTCGATGTCAAAGTGCGTTTCTCGTTGTAAATCACGATTGGAAAGGTTGTTTGCTGATCGATTCGGAGAAGTCATTCCCAACTCTACCAGTGCTTTGTTAGAGATTGCCAAACATATGTCCTCAATCGAAACCAATGCCTCATTATACAAGTTTGGTGTAAATTTAATGTCCGGATTTTGATTCGTTGCACGCAAATAATGTAGGATGTTTTTCCCTCATGTCGTCTTTGTATTTCTCCCAAAGATCTTTTGGATTGGATGGGAAGCACGCTGTCAATATGATTGCAAACAAAGTATTGTCACAATGTATTGATGGAACAATTGTCGATATTTCAAGATTTGATTTTCAGCACTCTCACGGATCATCAATCGATATGAATAGTATTTCATGGCAAAGACTTTCTTAATCGATTCCTCATCTTCCTGTGGATTTTTAAGTTTGATTTTGAAATAACATCCATCATCTCCTTGCTAAGATAAAATAAGATATTGCAATCCATCGTATGAGCGACGCGTTTCTGAGACTTCCGGAAAATAACCAATTTGGCGATGAATAATTATTTTACGTCAGTTAAATTCTTGGCCAACAATAACGATTGCCGCTTCATCAATTGTTGGTGCATTGTATTGTCTTTCGTGTTGGCCCACAGGTGTTTAGTCTGCTCTAACTATGACTTTGTATTCATCTGTCGGCATCTTTTCAAGTGCAATTCTGAACATTTGAATTAATTCGTTTTGTTGCAAAAATAACGTTTCTCGTTTAGTGCCCATATTGATGTGACAAAGTTTATCGATTTGTTCATCAGTATTCCCCATGAAATAAATTTGAAGAAATGTGTGATTTGTGTTTGGTAGTGGCAGCAAAGATCCTGCACGATGATAAATTTGCTCTAGCACTTTAAATGTTGGCATGTAATTCTCGCGCGCGATATTTTTTTACATAATGATGTCATTTGGAAACATGAATTGTACTTGCGTATGCTTGTGTCACCTGATACCAACGTTGATAATGGTTCCGACGGTGAATGTTATTCTGGCAATTCCATTTCCCGCCACCCCCCGAGCAGCAATTTCCCGATGTTTCATTCTTAAATTTGAGGGCACAGCAATACACCCATGATATATATATCTTTCCAATAAACACACTTGGATGAAGACTGTAATCATAATTAGATTCGTAATGGAATGCACTAAGTTTTCATTCAGATAACAGTGTTCGTCTGGATCGAGCAGTGCGTACGCAATCGGAATCCAGTCTTGTTTCTCGCTGCTCGACTGTTTCAGACAAACGGGTTTCAGCATTGCGTACTCGAGCGGTTTTCACTCTTGCTTTACGTTGCTTTAATGTTTCCGAAGCTCGTGATAACTTTTTGTTTCGAGCTTGAGGTGTAGAAAAAACAAATAGCTTGTTGTTAAGGTGGCATAATCGATTTGACGGCAACATTATTGATTTGTGACGAATTTTACAAATGCTTGTGATATCTGTTCTTAGCATTGGTATTTCACAATGAACACAACTTGTTAGGCCACACATAAAATGAAATATCGCTGTTTGTATTTGATTCAATTAATTTACGATATTCCTAACGTGAATAATATTTACACGTTAGGATCTCCCATCTTTTTACGTGAAAACCACGCATAATAGGTACGTTCATTGTTGGCTGTAGAGTTCCAGTTGTATAGCTTCAAATTAATTTATAAATCATACATTCCAGCATTAAATTTCGATATTACCATAGTTCAATACCTACGTTATCTAGTGTGTTATTTAATTACTTAAGAAACCATCGATTCATGTAAAATATCGTTACATAACAAAAAAGAACACCGAAATTATAAGAATCTATTGAAGAAATACTTCTAATTTAAAAAAAAAAAAAAAAAAAAAATCGTTTTCAACGTCATATCCGATTCTTAAATACGTCACAAAATTCAAGCTGATTTATTAAAATAATAAAAATACCCTCTACACTAAAAATGCAAAAAACGTGTTTTCTCTGCTTTATTACAATTTGCTACATGTTTGCAATTGTTCAAGGCGGTAGTGTTGATAGCTCAGTTTTATATTATATTGATGAAGCTCATTTAAGAAAACAAAACAAATTTAAGGCACCCTGCCCAAACGAAATATTGTAACATGGTTGCATTAATTCCGAACTTCCTTATTATGTAACACAGAAACAGAAATGTCGTTTTAGTTGTATTAGATTCAATTCCATCCACCCATGAAACAGCTTTTTTTATATAGCAAAATTAGAAAATAATGTAATTTCGGCCCCAGCCCTAAACTCACTGTTTTAAAATGGATGTACTAATTTAGACAAAATTGCCGGCGGATTCAGCTCCATCCACTCATGCAATAGCTCTGTTTGAAATTATATTTATAAAGCTCTTAGAAGAAAAAAACGAAATTAGGGTCACTGGCCCAAACGCAATATTGTAAAATGTTTTTCTAATTTAGAAACATTTGCGGTAATGCGCATTTCAATTCACCAAGTTTTATCACAATCAGATGAATATTATAGAAATTCATACGATAATTAAATAGATAATATAAGAGTGAAAAACGAATTTAGGGCCCACTGCCACAAACGGAATATGTACAAAATGTAATGTCATTATTTGTATTTGATTAAAAAGCTAACCATCCATGCATTAGCTCTGTTTGAAATTATAGTTGTAAAGCTAATATAGAAAAAAACGAACATAGGACCCCTGGCTAAAAACAGAATATTTTAAAATGGTGATAATGATTTTAAAAAAATCTTTGTGGGTGTGTGCACAATATCTCTCTAAAGTTTTATCGCATTCTAATAAATTGTAGAGGAGCGCGTAAGGAAATTATTTTTACAAATCTCATATAAGAAAAAAAAACGAGTTAGGAGCCAACTGCCAAAAACGGAATATTTAAGAAGGGTTATAATGACTAAGAAAAATGATTTTGATGGTGGACAGCAACTCGCCTCAGTTTTATCCAAATCACTTGAATGGTGTAGGAGCGCATAGGGTTTGAAAATATATTAATGTAGCTCAAATTAGAAAAAAAATGATCATAAGGCCCCTGGCTCAAAACTGAATATTTTAAAACGGTTGTAATAATTTAAGAACCTTTGCGAGCAATTGAACAACATCTCACTAAAGTTTAATCGCATTCTAAAAAATGGTATAGGAGCGCATACGGAAATTATTTTTTACAGAGCTTATATTAGAAGAAATGAATTTGGGTCCAACGGCCTAAAACGCAATATTTAAAAAGTTTTTGAAGGACTCAGTAAAATGCACGGGCTTATGGTCAACAACTCACCAAAGTTTTATCGCAATCACATTAATGGTGAAGGAATGAATATGGTTTGAAAATATATTTATTTAGCTCATATTAGAAAAAAACGAACATAGGGCCCCTGGCTCAAAATTGATTTTTTAAAAATGGTTCTAATAATTCAAAAACCTTTGCGGCAGTGCTTGCAACATCTCACCAAAGTTTTTTTGCAATCGGATAAATGGTGTAGGAGTGCATACGGAAATAATTTTTACAAAGCTCATATAAGAAAAAAATACGAATTAAGGGCCAACGGCCTAAAACGGAATATATTATAAAAGTGTTTAATAATTTAGTAAAATACGTGGGTTGATGGAAAACATCTCCCCAAAAGTTTGTTGCTATCGCATGAATGGTAGAAGCTCATACGGTTTGAAAATATATTTATATACCTCATATGAGAAAAAACGAACATAAGGCCCCTGGCTCAAAACTGAATATTTTAAAACGCTTGTAATAATTTAGAAACATTTGCTCATATAAGAAGAAAAAAAATATTAAGAACTAGCTGCTGAAAACGGAACATTTTATAAGGGTTGTAATGATTCAGTTAAATGCCTGGTTATGTGGACAACAACTGACCAAAATTTAGTCGCAATCGCATGAATGGTGTAAGAGCGCATACGAGACACACAAAGATACATACAGACATTCATTTATATATATATAGATACATCTGATAACCGTAACTAGTTAATCGTAAAGATAGTGTTTGTCTGTAAGCATTTATTAAATAAGTAAAAAAATTTAATGACCCCTGTGGAAATAATTTTAAATTAGTTTTCCATAATCTAGAACCACAGTGCTTGTATTAACGCATTGTGACATAGTATAGAATTCAAATTGGTATCAGTTATCTAAGACCTGTTCTTAAAATTGTTGATTGTTACGCGGACGAAACTTTACTCAAAGTTGTAAGAATAGCCAAAACATGAAACAAATAGTTCATGGCAAAGTGCTTTAAAGTTAGTAGCTTACCATCTTTTTGTGACACATATAATTTTTTAATTCGATTTTTTTTTTTAAATTGTGTAATTGATGTCAAATAATGGTTGTCAGTCTAAAATCGAATAATTCCAGCTTTATATTTATAGAAGCTTTGTCAATGTGTTGGAAAATGGACAGCTGAGAGGAACTTATTCCCCTAAATTACTTAAAAATTATCGAAACGCAATAAAACTCTTCATCCGATGATGATATCTGATTGCTGTATATTTGCGCATAAACTGATGAACCAGTTTGTGTCAACAATGTCAGAACATGAGCAACATTTGGTCCCTTCTTAATTTTGGAGAAAACACCATTAGGACTTGAACAGAGCAATGATCTCATGAGCAAATCTTATTTACCTTGTAGCTTCAAATTAAAGTTGTTAAACACGTCAAAAATTATAACAGCATATTTAAAAATCAAAATGCCATACCAAATGGTTCATTATAGATTTAAAATCGAATGTAATATCTTTCATCTCGTGAAACAGAATAGTTTCATCCTTAATATTCTACTCTCTTCAAATATGTTCCAGGATATAGCCATTCCGCATACATCTGCATTACAATGTATAGCAGATTATGCAGCTTCCATATCTTCATTTTACATATTTTCAAAATATTTGTGTCGGTGGAAATTTTATTTTTCACATTCTTTAATTTCCTTTTACCTGGGTTCCGGCAATAACTACTAGCAAAATCCAAGCAAAGTAGTTTTTAACCACTTTCTGTTTCTTGATGTTTCTTGATTTGTCCTGTCTACCGAAGAAGGCTATTAACAACAAGTTTTTTTTTTTAGTGTCCTGTCTTTCTATTTCAAGCCTCCACATACCTTGCTCCACTAGTTTCTTTTCAAATCTTGAATGCATTCCTGCATTTATTATACATGATAAATTGTGCATGAAAAAATCGCTTGCCCGTTTAGGGACATATTCAATATTAAAAAAAAATCTGATCTTAATGGACTAGTAGCGTCGATTCTGTTATCTATTCCGTGAAAGGGCTCAAGGGCTGTGAACTAAGGAATTGACGTCTTTTAAAAAAAAAAGGATGAATAGAAGGAAAGCCGCCGTAATGCTGTAACCGCAAGGTTTACATAGAATGTTTGCTAACCGTCTTCTATACACACTTGCTATAAACTATAACTATAAATATCTGAGTGCATTTCTTAGTGTAGGGATTTTAAACTTAATGAAGCAAAACGGATTTTATAACTACACTAATGACTTGTTTCTCCTTGTTTTCTATTTATTTAAAATGTTAGATGCATTTGAACTTAAGAATTAAAAAATAGCACTAAAATACTAAAGTTGTAACAACATTTAAAAAAAAAAAAACCAAAATAGGTGTACATGCAATATCTTTTTGTAAAATATCTCTTTTATTGAACACTTTAAAAAAAAAAAGTTCTTCCATTTGTAAATAAGAAAGATTAAAACAAATCCTCAATTTTAAATACTGTACCACATTTTTTTTTTATATAAACCTACTTAAAATGTGAAATAAAATATTTTTTTTTAAACTATAAAAATTTTAAGATAATAAGTCACTGTTCGTTATCCTATGTTATGTATTCATGTATTCCATGACTAACGTAGCAATGTTTTATTTCACTCCCATTTAGGGATGATATATAGATGTGTGTACATCATCGTTCACCATGGGACTAATTTTTTTCCTGGGCCATGTCCAGCCTTGTATTGCTAATATTAATTGTTAACTTTGTTTTGCAATTTTACATACACCTTTTATCTCAGAAATTGTAGGATGACTGGGCAAAGTTTTAAAAAATTAAAAGAGGGAAATATTATTACAACAAATAAACTTAATATTGAATCATGCTGGCATCATAATAAATTACATTAATTAATAGGTAACGAACGTAAGAGCTTTAAAAAAAAAGTAATTATAAGTACACAGATAAAATACATATTTAAAATATAGGTGGCAGAACTTTTTCAATACTACTTTTTCTATTGAAATGAATTTTTTAGTAGGATACATTGTAGTAGTTTCTTCTAATTACTTCATTATATGTATAGAGCTTACAAGAATTATTTTTTTTATTAAATATTTATCTATACAGTATTTCTATTTTCTTTTGAGCTGCTAAGAAAAAACCTATTTACCTCAAAGATTCATGTTGTATAACTTTAGATTAAAATATCCCATAAACCTTTTTATTTGAAAAAAACATTTTATAAGGTGAATTGATCAAAATCTTTTTATTAAGAAAAAAAAATTATCTACTTACATAAATGTATTTATTTGTGTCTAAGATAATGAATGGAATATACTTCAACGAGATGAAGGCGTCTCTCGAAAGAGGAAGGCGCTCCACGAGCCTGGTAACTTACATAACAGGAAGTAAAAACTATTTATATCTGTACTTAAAAATGTGTGCAGTGGTTAAGATTCGGTTTGGATTTAAATGAGGCTGCAAGACTGAAAGAGGGGTACACAATATTATATTGGGCAATGGGGTACATAATAATTGTAAATCTTTGGTGGCAATTTGTGATTTATAAAGAGAAATCTAGTCCTTGAAATGTAAACGCATATAAGTTTTTATAACATCATGGTTTCATTCGTTGAGTCTTGAATTGTACTCGTATTTATTGCAACTGAATCCAAAGTTAACAGTGAATATTAGTGTGATCATGATTTATGTTGGGATTTTATGTCAATATAACAAAATAAGTTAAGCTATCACAATATTTTACACAATACACAATTAGACGTTTCGGCACAAGCCTTCATCACTATAACAACCAAAGATTTAAATACGTATACATTAAATTTACATAATATATGTATACATATATCCTGCCTAAAAAGGGAGAAATATTAAGAGTGGGCGTAAAAATAAGCCAGAAACAATGTAAAGAAGAATAGAAAGGATGTGTCTTGAAGAAAACTGTAGAAAAAGAAAGAAAAACGAAAAAGACATGGCAGCTACGTAAAATTGTGAAGTTGGTTTATTGTGTATGGCGTAAAAGTACCAAATCTTGTTTTTAATTTGTTCTCCATATAGATACTACCCAATGCGTTACTAGTATACCAATAACTGCGATCTAACATTCCATCATGGTTAGGGCTATTGAAATGTTTGGAGACCGGACAGAGAGGTTGTTTATTTATGTAATAGAGGTGCTCTCTAAACAGGTCTCCAAGGCGACGACCTGTCTCTCCTAAGTTTTTTAATTTCAGTTTATTAAATATAGTAAGAAACTCTGACTGTCTGTCTGAAAATGGACGTAGATATATTTTTCTGGTTAATGTTGAGTTTTTAAGTCCAAAAAATTGATTGGTACTTTTATGGATCGTTGAAGTGAATTAGATCATTTGATGAAAATTTTCTATGAAAACAATAAAACTTTCTAGCTGTGTTATGTCCATGATGGTAATTCGTATACAGTGATCTATGTATCTCTTGTAGTGATCTGGGAAATGACATTTTCAATGTTTTCTCTAAAGGTGTTCACAATGGGCCTTAAAAAAAACATGCATAAATTGGTCTCCTTGTTGTTCACATAGCAACAAAACTTATTTGATAAAAAGTTCGCAATTAAATTCAAACTAGTTAAGCTGTAAAAACCAGTTCTGTCAAACGTACAGGGGAATTCGTAGGAAAATTAGGATTAGAATTCTTTTTAAGAAAAAATGAAATAGCGGAGAGTCCATCAGTGTGGGGTATTGAGTTGTATAGTGAAGAAACGTCTATTGTAAAAAGTGAATGGATTCGATTAGGTGAAACCAAGGCCTTGAGAGAAGTGATTATGTTGTCAGTGTCCTTAATATACGATGGCAAATTTTCAAACATAGGCTGAAATATTAAATCCAAAAAATCAAAAATTAGTTCAGTAGGACAAGAAAAAGCTGAGACAATATGTTTTCAAGGACTTTCTTCCTTGTGAATTTTGGTAACAAATACAAGCATGGTTTACCAAGATCACTGTCATAAATTAGTAAATTTGAGGCAGGCGCTGGTAATTGGCCAAATTGATTAATGTCTTCGATAGTGTCCTTGACAATTACATTATTCTGGACAATTAGGTCGTTGGACTTTGACGGATAAAAAGATGAATCTTATAATTGTTTGGAGGCCTCTTCAATGTATAGCTTCTTATCCCAAACAACAACAGCTCCACCCTTATCTGCCGGTTTAATAATAAAATCCTGGCATTTTTTTTTTATAAATTTGAGAAAGTGCTTGCCATTCTTCTTTCGATAAGTTGAATTTATGAAGTGGAGTTAGCGTAGATTTTTTATTTGAGTCTCTGTACTTTTGATATAAAGGTCAAGTGCATTACATTGAGTAGGTGGAGGTGTCCATTTAGAGTTGCGTTGTACAGGAAATGAATCCTAATCCTGGTTAGTAGGAGCCTCATGTAAGTAAAGTTGAAGTCTTAATAAATGAAAGAAACGATGTTTGTCTGACATCACTCAATATTTGTCAATCGATGATCGAAGTGGGATTATTTTTAGTCCTTTTATGCTCAATACTGTTTTTTCTTGTTCAGATAGTGAACTATCTTGTGGTATAAAAACTACTAGGTTTGGTTCATTTTTCCGTTACGAGAGTTGTGGTACCCATATGATTCTTGACAGATTTAAGATTTTTATTTTTTTTTTCTTCTTTCCATCAGATCAAAAAAATAGAGTTCAGTATTTAGTCCAGGGATAATTAAACGAATGTGATCGAATAATAAATCATTATGTTGTGTATTCTTTCGAACATCTTCTTCCAGAGTGTGACTCCGATCAGTGAGTTGTGACATGAAGCTATTGTGGACGTTTAAAACATTTCTCATGCGACTAAAAGCACGTTTATTTTCAGTGGCGAAAAGTTCAGATTTATCAAAGGAATTAGAGGGAAAACCAGCTGGATGAAAAATATTGTTAAAACCTTTTAGTTTAAGACGTTTGCGAGTCTCCTTATTGACAATGATTAATCATTTGAGGTAGAGCTCTAAAAGACGAAGTAGCTTCCCGATGTACTCCACAGGTAATAGTTAAGGTTTACTAACTTGTGTGACCACTCTATCCAATTCATTTGGATCTTTTTATAACATTTGTCCAATTATATAAGATTGGAAACAAGGCATGGGCACTGTATAGATATTCATAAAAAAATTATGATAATTGAATATTACGCGTACAGTTTGAGCACCGATGAGCTCCTCTTAAATTAAGGCTTTAAAGTAAACATGACAAATGAACTCTCAAAACTTAGATGCCTCATCTTTAATTAATTTAACTGTTTAAGTTGATTAAGGTAATTAAGCAGAAGATAGAAGTGTACCGAAGTATATACATTGCAAATCCCATCTACATGCATAGGAGCCAAAATGATCAATAAATTGATCGTGGGCCCTTAAGATATAGAAGAAGAAGAAGAAGACAATACAGATTATGGTAGTTTTGAGGTAGGGTTTGCATTTGTAGTGAGTTAGAAGTAGAACATTTCGAAGCTTGATTGGCGAAGATATTTTAATTTGCATATCTAAAATTTCTATAGAAGAAAGATATTTTGGCTTGTTCGGAGACGTGTGGCTTTAGAGAAAGCATTATTAGAAATTTTTCGAAAGGAAATTAGAAGGCACTTTCTAAGCAACGTAGCCGAAAAGATATTATTAAAAAGCCAGCTGACAATGGCGGAGCCATTGATGTGTGGAAAAAAGATCTTTGCATTAAAGAGGCCCATAGTAAGCTTGCAGACAGCGACATCTACCAAGCAAGGACTAACAACTCTATTACCAAACATAACAACTTTTTCAAAGAGACTATCAAGCAAATGATCCCATAATCGGAACTCCCTATTTTGGACTCTGCATATACACATATTTGATAGTGACCTCGCTAGGACATCTTTCTATCTACATTCTAAAATACACAAGTACGGTAACCCTGGCAAACGCATAGTCTTGCCCACAGAGCATATCTTGGAAAGCAGTGATAAAGTTTTTAAACCTATCGTAGCCTCACTGCCCACTTATATTGATGATATCAATCACTCTTTAAAACTTGTTTGAATCCGTCACCATCCATCCTGAAAAGACAAATCATCTATTTCTACTTGATGTATATTCTAGTTGCACTTCTAGCCAAAATACTCATAGATTTTAAATTCTTTCTAGAGAGTAAACCCCAACAATCTTTACCCCTTCAATATGATTTTCCGATTGGCTGAAATGGTTCTCATTCTCAATTCGTTTGATAATAGTGACCAATTTTTCGACCAAATCAGTGGTGTTGGATGCCTCCATGAAATCCACAAAATGTACATTTATGATGGAATGGGGTCACTGTTGTGAGCTAGATTTAGGGGCGTGAATGTTTGGTATGGAAAAAGAAGTTTAGTGTACAGATTATAAGTGAACTGAAACTATTGAGTTGAAATGGCGTGTTAGTTTTTGTGTTATAGTGTGGAACGATGGCTGTTCAGAAGTGTTGGATTTCATGAGTTGCTTTTACATTTAATAAAGAGACTTTTATTCTAAAAATCAATGGTTTGTTTAATGAATGTAACACTAGTCAAGGACGCTATCGAACTTGATAATTCCCAAATCGTAGCAGTCACATCTATAAAGAGGAATGATCTTAACCTATTTACTAATTTTGTAGTCTCTTTTAACCCCTCCATTAAAATCACATCTATTGTCTCTAAGACTATAGTAAACTTGTTACACATTACGGTTAATCTTTACAAAGACAGAAAACTCACCTCCTGCTTTAAACCTACTGACATCCATAACTATTTAACCTACTCTTCCTCCCACCCTAAATCCTGTAAAGGCTCTATTCCCGTTTCTTAATTATGTCCTCTTCATCGACTGCTAGTCAAATGATAAGTTTGGGACAATGCACTTGAGATGATTGACCTTTTCCGATGAATATAGGTCGTACTCGGAGAAAGTACTGTCATCAGTGCATTTAAGGGGTTAAATATATTACCCTTGCTAAGGCCTTCAGATCACGCCCGAGTAAAAATGATAACACGAAATTTTTCTCATTTATAATCCTAACATTGCCTTTGGTGGCGGGAGGTGCCGACAAATGTGGAGGTCACTGGGAAAATTGAGAAGTCAGGCTATGGAGGGTATAGTAATTGGCCTTTGTTTCGTATGCGAATGAGTGGGACACTTAACTGCCATCAATAGTATTATAGGGGAACAACACAGACAAGATCTGAAGATAACAAGGGCAGGCAAAACTATAAGTATATTGGTGAGACAGAAATAATTTAAATGAATATCAAATTCCCAGACAAGAGACAAAGTGACTAGATCAAATATTGGGTTCTAAGAGGTGGGGAAGGAAAA